TTGTGATAATTTATCATCATGTATATTATTTAATTTGGTCTAGCCTTATTTATTTATTATCTTGAGGATACATTAGTGTTTTATTGATTTACTGGAATATGTTGATTATCAATGGTGAACATTTGCCTATATATATGTAGTAGGCTGATTAGTGGTTGGCCATGCGAACCACTAGATGTCCCCTCAGTAGTTTATGAGGTATACCAAATTATTGCCATCAGTTTGAAATATTTGCTATTCTATTATTTATTAAATTTATATTTATTTATTTATTCATTCAATATCATTTTTTGGATTTATGATCCAATGAATTTTTATTATTTAATCTTTCCGCACAATTGGGGATTGGTTTGCCAACATAGTTTAAAAATGAGTCCTGGCTCCGGTTTCTAATTTGGATATTTAAGAGAGGCTTGGTTTGGATTGATTGTTCATTCTTTTCCAGTTCCTGTTATCAATATGGAGGCTGATTCATTCCAAATTGAGGCTTGGTTTTCATCTTTATAAGCGCAACGATGGAGGGCGGCTCCTAGCCTCGGAAGATGTCTGGTTATGACGAAATGAGTCGGTTGAAGCCTCTCCTGATTTCATCGCGTGGGATCGCCATTTTGCACCACCTTTGTGGATTGATGCTTTTTATCTTCTGCATTCGTAAGTGCATTTTTGTTTGCTTAATAAACCGGTTGAATTTCACTGCACTATGAGAGACACCTCTTTATTTTACATGAACAAGCACTGACCCTAAACATCGGGACGGCTTGATGAGCTTCGGGTGGTGCATTTGGTTCCATATAGACACATGAGTCTGGATAAGAATATACATATTGAGTGTGTTATGACCCCCTAAGGGGTCTAAGGATCTGGTAAGTCTCCGATTTGATATTACGGTGGTGGCTATTTAAGCTGGTGGCTATGTTGGAATGCAGATTTTTCACTACTCATCACAGAAACCAAAGGACTGTTTTATATTTTCATGGACTGTTTGTGATTTGATTTCTATTCATGTATATTTTTGAGCACTATTTATTTATGTAGCATGAAAGTACATCACTAACATATTTGTTTGCAATTGATTGTTCACACTTAACGCAACACAAATTTATATTTGATTTGTTATTGAGAGGGGATATCCTCAGGGTGTATTTGCGGCTTTGCACAACCAGAGTGTGGGATATTTGTGCAGTGTATTTTCTATTTTTAAAATACTCACCATGCCTCTTATCAAATTCTTTGGGGTGTCTACTTTCCAAAAAGGGGTCATTGGGGGGGGGGTGTTTGTACTATCCTGGCATTTTAGGGCCTCCCGAATCTGTGATAAGTAGTGAGGAAGTGATATGAGGAAATATTCCATTTGAAAGCCTGGAGGTGGTCATTGGATTTTGGGGGCTTGTATGTAGCTAGGCTGCCAAAAAGATCTCTCACATGTGGTATCTCCATACTTGAAAGAAGTAGCAGAATGTGTTTTGAGGTGTTATTCCACATATACCATGGCATGCATGAGCAATATATTATTTAAATAACAACTTTGTGTAAAAAAAAAATGTTTTTTTTTAAAATAATTTTCCAAAAATTTGTGGCAAAAAAAAAAATGTTCCATAGACTCAACATGCCTCTTAGCAAATACCTTGGGGTGTCTACTTTCCAAAAAGGGGGGGGGGTTGTACTTTCCTGGCATTTTAGCACCTCAAGAAATGTGATAACCAGTTAGAAGGCAAAATCTGCATAAATACCAATATATATATATCATGGTTTGTAGACGCTATACAAACACACAGACCAATTAATATACATGTATTGGGACTTTTTTTTTACTAAAGACATGTAGCAGAATACATTTTGGCCTAAATTTATGACTAACTTTGAGTTTACTGGATATTTTTTTATAATTGAAAGTGCAGTGCTGAATAGCAAAAAATTGTTTGGTCATTAAAGGGGTAATTCTTCCAGAGGGCAAGTTGTTAACCCTTTGAGGACCAAGGGACGTATTTGTCCCATGTTTTTAATTGCCTGTATCATCTGATTAAGATACTTTTTTTTTTTTTTTTGGTTTGAGTCAAAATATTAGTTATCAACAAATGGATCTAGCTTTTTGTCAATTATTTCATGAAATGGCTTAGTTACAGCATTTGAAGTGTACGAACTTTAAAAACAACATATAACTGGTGTGGCAATGGCCAAGGACGCTGATTGGTGACAGTACGTAAAAATATTTTAGAAAGTTTTTAATAATTTTTAAACATTTTTAAAATATTTTTTTCTTTTGAATTACTTTTTTTTTTTTTTTTTTTACAATTTTTTTACACATAGTGACCAGAGCAATACAGTGTTACCATAGTAACACTGTACTACCTTGGGAAGGTGATCGGAATTTTTTTTTACACACTATGATTGCTTATAACTGTGACTTTTAGCCCTGGTTCACACTGATGCGGTGTGGAATTCACAACGTTTTCTGTGCAAATTCCACACTGCATCAGAATCTCACCCCGTTCATGCGAACTGCTGCGAGTGTGTATGTTACGTTAACAACACCCCGAAAGCAGTACGCAAAACACAGTGTGATGTGCAGAATCGGATCGCATAGGTGTGAATACCCATGCGATCTGATTCTACTGCGGACCCAAAAAAGGGTCCTGCACCTTTTTGTTGCGGGTGCGATTTAGAGCCATACAAAATGTACGGCTCCAATCGCACCACACACGAATCACATGTGATTTGTGCAGGAATGCGGTGCGGTTCCTGTGCAAACCACATGCGATATACCGATATGCGATATACCGCACTGTATATATGTGACCCCAGGCTTACCGTTATAAGCAACCATTTTTTCTTTATGAAGACTATTCACTGTCCTCCTATCTGAAGGCCTCCTGAGTCCTCTCTGCCAGGTCCCCAACAAATAGTTGTGTCCACCTCTGGAGTCCCCTCAGCTGGCTACACCCCTTCACAGTGTCTACCAATCAGGAAAGAGATCAGCAGTTTTTTAAATACTCAGACCAGCCCATCTGGCACCAACAACCATACCATTCTTTCCTATTCTGATGCTTGGTTTGAATTGGCTGAAATTCAAACCAAGCATCAGAATAGGAAAGAATGGTATGATGGGCTGGTCTGAGTATTTAAAAAACTGCTGATCTCTTTCCTGATTGGTAGACACTGTGAAGGGGTGTAGCCAGCTGAGGGGCCTCATCAGTTGCAGGGAGTACATGTGAGGCAGAGAGGAAGCTGCAGCAGCGTAGACTCCAGAGGTGGACACAACTGTTTGTTGGGAACCTGGCAGAGAGGACTCAGGAGGCCTTCAGACAGGAGGACACAGAGGAGAGGAGACAGACCTGACCGACAGAGGACTGGGGGACAGAGTTGGTGCAGCGCGGGCCATCCCACCTGAGAGCGGACGACAACCCGACCAGCGAGGACTCACAGGCTGTAGATAAGTGGATTCAGCATCGGCGTCACTATGGAATAAACTACAGAGGCCACCTTGTCCTGTGTGTGGAGGATACCAGAAGATGAATGTAGGCATAGCTTGCTGCTGGACGGCTGGATGTCCCATCTGGATCCAATTACCACACAATGAGTCTTTTTAACCATTTATCTTGTAAGTGCAAATTTTCCATTGTCTACTAATAAATTGTTAATACTGCACTTAGAGGCGCCTTCCTCTCTTTTTCTTGTTACTGCAATAGAGCCTTGCTTCCACTCCAAAAAGAGCTTCCTCAGTGTTACTGCTCCCATCCATCCCTGATATCCCTCTGGCACCTTTATCTTACAGCTACAGTGAGGTTGGGCTCCAACAAGAGCGCCCTATATAATATACATTTTCCAAGTGTAATTCCTGTCTCCTTTCTCTTCCCTCTACTATCTGCATTAGTCACTTCTGACAGGTTACTCAGACACCACATAATCTTGGAAAATTATTCTGCCCCCCCCCCCCCCCCCCAGTACACTGAAGGTGAGTGGAGTGAGAGCCTCAACTGTGCATGTTTTTCTATAAGACCGTGTAGAGTTGGGTGTGCCCCTTCCCTCCACTCAGTTCTCAGATTACATTCAGTTCCCTGGTCTATGATGTGCAGTGTGTTATACCAGATAACCACCCCTGGTTGCAGGAGTTGAGAAATAGTCTTTGATCTGGTTAGTCTATAATTCTGCAGAGAAGAGAGGTCTGCAGATAATCAGGTACAACTTATGTAGGAGGATTTGTCTCATCTCTGTATCACTGAGGCTAGTCACTTCAGTTGGTATATGTAAGTTTATAACCACTTTAACATAAAATAAAGACCCTATCAACAAAAAATAAAAACCAATATACCCACAAAATAAATGAAAAACTCCAAAGCCTGCCCCTGAAACAAAAGGACACTTTTTAAGGGAAAACTCACAGGAGATAAGAGGACCACAGTAGAAGAGGAGGATCAGAGGATCAGAACAGCAGCTAAAAGTGGCAATGGCCTGAAATCAATAACAAAACAAAACTGAAGACAAATAGTCTTCATTATAAGAACATAAAATTGAAAAATGAAAGGAAAGGGTTTGTTGCACAAAGAGCTAGCAATCAAAATTAAAGTGCAATTTCCTAACTGACTGTACTTTCTTTCTATGCACCCCTTTATAGGCCAAGCAGTGCATTGTGGTTTGAAAAAATAGCATGGGTGAATTCTAACATAAATTTGCAAGGACTGTGAATTTTAAACCCCTACAGGTCATGTGTAAAATAAGTAATCCTAGTAGATGGGTCTGTGTTGCTACAGTTAGCAGTAATGAAATCTAGTCCTATATGGTTTCAAAGATAACAATCTAGCCCTATAAAATGGTGATACTCTTTTTGCTGTCAACCCAGGTTTTACAGCTATTAAGGTGTTACTAAACCCAGGACCCTGCATTCACTATATCTGGTCTCTACACACAGCATGGGAATGCATTTATTTTAGTAAATATAAACTGCTAAATACCTTTTCCCATCAGCAGTTAGAGCAGTCTTGTGACTTCTATTAGTGTCCAACAGAGCACTGGTTAAAGCTTGTAGGAGGAGTTTTCATTCTATTCTAGGAGGATGACGGAGCCCTGACCTCTGTCTGGACAGTGCTGATTGGCCCTGTGCTGATCACATGCACAAACAAAAACCTTGTTGCAATGCACACTTAACTGCGCATGTGCAGAGTGACTCCACACCATATGTCTTATCAGAAGATAAGAGGGCCACAGTAAAAGAATGGGAGGATCAGAGAAGTCAGGATCAAATATCTTTTTACACAATGCGGAGGATTAACCCCTTAAGTTCCACAGTGAGTATAATAAACATGCTTTACTGCATATACAGACTGATTTTACTATTGTGTCTTTAGTACCACTTTACCAGAAATGGGCTGACAACTAGGGCCATATCACACTAGGAATCCAGCAACAGAACTTCTAAGCAGAGTAGATAAATAGAGTGGATGAATACCTGTTTCCATGCGTTGCTCATTTGCTGGCTAGATGAGCTAGCCATCGCTCTACCACTGGTAAGTGAAATTTGTGCAGCAATTCTGTCAGCCAAGGAGCAACACCTTTCACATCTGGGCAGCAAAGGAGCGACATATGAACAGGTCAGTATTCTCTCTGTAATTGGTGATCCTGCCACTGGTAAGCTGTTGCCAGTGACAGGACCATAAGTGTGCCATGGGCCTTAGGAAGAGAACATTTTGCTTCTGCGCAGTAAAAGGCATGTTATAGAAGTTAAAAAGGTAACAAACAAAAAGTTGAGACAATGGTGTTAGAAGTGACATTCTTTACTGTGGGACGACATCACAAGGTTTGTCATAGTTGGACAAGTCTGACATCTTGATCGGAGGGGACTCTTTCTCAGCATAAGCATATCGCCCTTGCTATTATTATTTAAATAAAGGTTTTAGTTAGAAAAGCAAGCAGAAATAGGTGATTAGCAATTCAATGACTCAGAATTACTGAAGATATTAACAGAAGGGTTAATTAAATACTTTGCAAAAGGGCAACCACTGATTTAATAACTCTGTATATCAAAGTAGAACTTAAAGTTTCTTTGGAATATTTTATGATGAGAAAATTCTTTGTAATGTCACAGGAATTCATGTTCTTCTGCTATAGCTGCTTTAATCACAGTCTTACCTTAGAAGCCCCCTTTGTTATAAGATTTGTCTACTGGTGCTCAGTTTTTAGAAATAAATGTTACATTTTAGGATACAAAATGTGCAGTGGTTGTCTGACTTATCCTGTCTTCAATATGGAATCTAAAGGGCTTGTAGCCAGGTGAATCATTGAATACGGAAAGCACACCCCAAAATATTTTTTTATTTTTGGTACATGCCAAGTTCCTGGAACCAAATGTGACATTGCCACCCATTCCAAGTCTGATATTTCAAAAATAGAGACCCAAAAGGCTTTCAATCTAAGCCCTCCAAACCCACAACTGAGCCATGGGAAGGCAGATCTTATACACTTTGCAAACTAAAATCTGACATATACATATGGAGGTCCTTAAAGTGTTTTTTAACTGAAACCACCCTTTTTACAAAAAGGTTTAGAATGGACTTCCAAATCAAGTGATAAATCAAAGTATTAAAAAAATAGCTTCCACAGTACCTTATATTCCTTGTTATGCTCAGAGCCACATGCGTCGATTTATTTTCATCCAAATGGTCCAAGTGGTGAAAGGCAATTACAGGAGGAGACACTGTCAATCACTCTTACCCTTAAGGCTTCCAGCTGCCTACATCACCAGCAGCACCAATTGATGGTGAGGGTAAGAGTGTTTGATTGACAGCAGCTCCTCCTGTCATTTACAGCAAGGTAGGCTGGTCCCACCCACTGTCCAGGCTGTTTGGAACTGAAGAGGATAGGCAGAGTAAATTGTATACGTGGCTTTTAGAACATGCACACATGAGGTGGCAACACTGCATAGGGTAGATGACTACTAACAGCCATGCGATGTCTCTGGCAGGATCAACGGGTATTTTTAACAAAACTATTTTATTATTTTTTTTTTATTGATACACAGTAAGTAATGCAGGCCATAGACGGGTCGAAAATCGGCCAATTTTTCAGCCCGGAAAAAAAAAAATCGGCCAATTTTCGCAGCTTTAGTGGGTTAATTGGTCAGCCATTTTTTCGGGGTTTTTGGCACAATTTTTTTTATCAGTAAAGTTGGAAAAAAATTGTCCGATTTTGCCGGCAATGATGGGCAAATCGGAATTGATTTACCGATAAAAAATCTGCGCATGAGCCGTGACCTGCAAGAAGAAGGAAAAAGAAGCAGAAAAAAAAGAAGCAGAAAAAGAAGAAGAATAAGAAAAAGAAGAAGAAAAAAGAAGAAGAAGAAGAAAAAAAAAAGAAGAAAGAAGAAGAAGAAAAAGAAAAATTCCAGTCCGCTATTATATTTTATATGAAAAGTATTGCGGCTGCAACAATGTATCTATTTGTATCCGAATAAAGACATCTGTATCCGAAATGGATACAAACGGATACATTGTTGCAACCCCATGACTTTTTCATGTCAAATATAATAGCGGAGCTCTCTGCAAGGAACAGAAGTAATTAAATGCCGGCCGTAGACGGGACGAAAATCGGCCAATTTTTTTTGCCATTGGTGGTAATGTCAGCCCATTGAACGAACAATTTTTCGTTTTTTTTCTTTTAAAAAACGGCCAGTTTTCGACCCGTCTATGGCCTGCATTAGTCTTCTCACTTGGCCAGCAGGTAAATGGGGCGAGCCAGAACTGCACAGGGACCCTCTGATGACTTTATCCATCACTGTTGCAAGGCTTGTAAAGACAAACATTCAAAGATACAAGCACTGCTTCTTCCATGTGCTCTGTGTGTTTCCTCCCTTACAGAGGAACTTTAACTGCACTAGAATAGCACTGTGTATGCACTTTCTATCTCTTCAATACAAAAGTAGATGGGTGAGAGTGATGGGTGAGAGTTGCAGGGTGAGAAAAGCCAAAATTCTAATGAATAAAACACCAAATCCCTTCCTTTTGGCTAAATATGCACTCTAATCCAAGGCAAGAAATGCAATGAAAAACATAAAACCCAAAGAGCACTCCAGTTAGACAGCTGAACTGTGCCACCGACATCACAATGTTTCCAGGTCTGTGTATTTATAGAGGAAGAGAAAATGTGATGTTGAGGTCACAATGTCACAATGACGTGTTCCTGTTTATGATAGTGAAGTGCAAAGTGTGTCAAAGGTCGATGGCCAATAAACCTATACTGTTCCTTTTTAGTAAAGCTGAAACGTAAGCAGATATGACTGGAACTTCCTTTCTGTATTCCTGAGGTTCTGAAAGGTGTGGCTAATTTGTTCACTGATCCAGTGGTGGATTCAATAACTTAGAGGGAGAAAAGTTGGTCTGACTTCCCTTCCAGTACTAAAAACCATGTGTAAAAAAAAATTACTGAAACCATCTTAGGAAATATTTGTTGGCATGACCACATGTAGACTGAGCCTACGTAGGGTACTAACAGTTTTTAATTAGTTACATAGTTAAATAGTTAGCATCCCTTAAGTATAAGAAAATTGTTTATCTTGAGATTTGCCTGCCACTAGATAGCTTTGTTGCCATAGTACAGTATAGATAGGGGAAAATTATAAGCAAGTGAAAGCTCCCCTTTTAGAGAAGTCTCTCCTCTAGTGATGTCAGGGATGAAGTGAGTGCCCATATAAAGGCCAAATTTGGGACAGGTCCAATAGTCCAGGGAATGTGAGCAAGATACCCCAGAGTTGCTAAGATTTAGTCTTCTGCAGAGCTGAAGTAAAGGGCCCTTTGCAGGGCTAAAGTCCCAGGCGAGGTGTTGGAGAACATCAGAGGAATAGTTTCTCTGTCTCCTCTGACTTTACCTGTTGGTCTTACAAGGGGATACTCAAGGCCTGGGAGACCTAGACAGAGTCTTCTGATGTGAGTAATAATGGAAGCCTCGGAATGATTTTGCCATCTGGGAGCATATATGGCTGGCCAGAGCCATACAGGGATATTGGGAAGTGACTAGTATACTATAGAATACTATATATATAGTATAACTATATAGTATACTATAGAACTTATCCTACTTGGTGATGGAAGCTAAGAGGGGCATTCAAGTCAAACTGGGAATTTTGAGTTTATATACTAAAAGAACAAATAGCGAGCAGCGGAAACTGCATTTATTTTTCGACATACTCCCCTGCTACATTTATACACTTATCCCAACGTTTAACTAATGCCCAGAAAACTTCAGCATAGAAAGACTTGTCCTAGGACAGCCCGCTTCACTTCATCATGATTGTGTTCACTGTTCCCACTGAAAGATTCATCTCTTGTGCAATTTCACGACAGGTTACACGTCATTTATCTAGATGTTCTACGCGCTGAATGTTCACAGGAATGACTGGGGTGGGCTGGGAACCACCAGAGCCGGGATTGTATGGCCATTTTTGAAACGGTTGCATAATTCTAATGTCTTACTGCATCAACAGCAGGTTGTGTTTGTTCCTCAAGAAACAGTCATTGGTTGGAGGCATTTTAAATAATTTTAGCATTTTTTGTTGTTAAATTAGAAAAATAAACTATCAAGATTGTGCTTGAAATCGGTCTTTACTTGAATAATTTAATACATTTATAGCAAGAGAGCAGAGAGACCCTTACCGTACAAAAGGTGCAAGATCTCCTGGTGCAACTTCTTTTGAAGCAGATATATCTATCTGCAGTCCCCTCATCTCAGTTGTGAGTGCCACACACTTTATGTGGGTTTTTTGTGTTTTTGTAGTGAGTGCAGAGATGCTGTAGTCCCTGTGAATTCCCCACACTGCGTCATGTGATATTACAGCTTCATTGAGCTCTCAATTGTAGGATTCTCTGATTTCTTTGGCAAATTCTGCCAATTTGTAAGTGTTAGGGCCATGTCACACTAGGAACGTTGTAGTAGAAACTTGTAGCAGCTACAATTCTCTCCTACAACACGCCTGTAGCTGACCACAATGCTTATCTGTGCAGCTACAAAGTGCTGGTGTGCCATGGTCATCAGCAGCTGCATTTGAAAATATGAGTGGGTGATTCTGCTTCTAGCTCCAAACACTGCTGAAAGTCAACAGCCCAGAGACTTAGCTCTAAATCACTTGGAATTTAAGCAAAGCAAACTTGTTTAACCCAGTACATTTACTGTACGTTTATAAGTTTTTTTATATTGTAAAGTGCTGAGCAAA